TTTTAAAGATTATATAAAATCAGAATAAAGGACAGTCACTACCCTGAAGATTTTATGGCTCAAGGATAGAGAAAGAGACAACAAATTCACAGAAAAGTAAAAAGAAGCAACACAAAACTAGTCAATGTGACTGTAAGGGTTATTAACAGACTCAAGCCTACCTGTCAAACCTATTCTGGGTATTGCAGAAGAACAGAAATTATATAAGGATTTAGAGGAAAGTAACCGAGTATCTGCATTAGGTGCTCCATTTAAGTGAAACGGTCAACCTGGGAGATAGCACAGATACTTTCTTGTGAGCTCAAGTGCGTGCTGAGGCTGTCATCACTGGCTGATAAACTGGCAGTCAGCATCTCAACACTGAATATGAGATGACATGCGAGGTGTCGGTATTAGTCCATTAAAGGCCTTGAAAGAGAAAGCGTCTAAGTTTTCCTTGGTGCTATAAATGAAAGGGAGCGAAAGGAGATGCAAAGTAAGAAAAAATGATGGACTGAAAAATGATCTTTACAGCTTCTTTGCAGACTGGATGAATATAAATGAAGCAAAAATGCATTTGTCAAAGCCAAAGAAAAGGACACTGCAGTAATAAAGATGTAGGTTGATGACAGCATGGGTGAAAATGTCTGTTAGACAGACAGAAATGCCTGTATCTTGGAATCATGAAGAAGAAAAAATTTGCAAGACAGAATCCTTACCACGATATATTGAATATATTTTTATAGCTCAGCTATGTCAACAAAATGATAACTTAAACTGAAAATTTGGACTAAATCTCTAATATCTAACAGTTAAACCATTATCAGTCCAACATTACTATTAGCTTATATTTAGTTTGACAGCTGAATCTAGTGCCTGAAGTCCTGTTTCCTTACAAATCTTTCAGATATTCTGTACATGACACCGTTAAACTCAACGGCCATATTTTATATTAATATTTTAATTATAAATATGCTCAAAATCATGCATGAATATTTTATTACTTGGCAGCATCAATGATTCACATATCTCAAAAAGTCAGGAGAATTTTGGAATTATGGCTGCAGGTAGGAAAATGAATAACAGTAAGTCAAAGTCTAAGACATGCTGATGAATAGAAAGGTCTTTATTACTTGCATCTTTAATTACTTATGCTTAGATAGTAGAAATTAGATTAATTTCATATTTTGCATTCCCATTGCAAGTCATACTTTATCACATTTAAAAAAACATTGTATTTTTATCTGTACTGAACTTATTTTTTTTTTCATCTGACACTAGCATGGAACCAGTGAATTAGCACAGTACATTCACACCATCAACAGAAATATCATAAGCCAAGAATGACCTGATCGATCCTATAAAACACCACATTAGTTACAAAAGAAAATCCAAGCCAGGATTAAAAGGTCTTCTACTGTCTGCCTATTGTATTCTGTGTTCCCACACATGAAGTAAAAACTGCTAATCTGAAGTATCAATAGAGCTACAGAGCTACCCAAACTAGCTTTCTGTGTGTGGGTTTGTGCCGTATCCTATGTAGGTAAAGGTAAATCCTCTCTCTCTAGAAGTGAGAACCATGAGAAAATAACAAGCTCTAACTGTAACTAAGCCACTATAAATCTTTTCAACAATATTAAACTTTGTATTATACATGGGCATGAAATATCCAAATATCTACCTGAAAACATATCAGTATGGTTTCACCGCTATCACGAAGTAACCCTGGGAAATTTGAAAATTGCATGTAATAATTTTTGCCCTCATTACATGGCATTGCATTGCATAGCTCATTGCATTAAATAGCAAATTTAAAATTGCGATCACAGCTTACTAGAAAGGTTACTGGCAGCTTTATTAAGCAGGACAAAATATAAACTACTATAAACTCCTAACAAAACAAAAACATTTGACACTTCCTCCCTCCCTGGCTTCCTAAAATCAAATGTTTTCTCTGGGATACTGCAGTTTGAAATAGTCATCCTTTGTTCTCCAGTATACTGTATTTTACAGTAGTCAGACAAAAACTATGTATAAGGACATGGAATGGACAAGTAGCATGGAATAATCTGTGGGAAGTCAAGAGGTCCCAGTTTTCGTAAGGCAGAAACATGGGGCAACTTCTAAAAATAGCGTTGTAAATTGCTCTAGATTACATATAAAGCATCACCTTTCTCCTCACTTGTCTGCTGCTAAAATTTATGTTCATCTGCAAATCTCATATTTCAGAGAAGTCTACGTTGATATCTTATATCTTATACTTGACCAAATAGACGGCAGTGAGAACAATAACTTGTTCAAAGAGATTCAAATGAAGACAGCTTCTATCATGACTTGCTTATCATCTTACAGTGAGAAAATTATGAAAAAAAAATGTTCTTTTGAACAGGACAAATACAGGATTAGCATCAATACAGTTTTATATGCTTGTGTTACAAGTTTCTATATACCTGTTCATTTATATACATGTATACCTACAGTATATAGCTATAATATATACACATGAATATTTGAACATTTGGAAGCCTGAGCTGGAACATTTATTTCTTCCTCTATTTCCCACATCAAAACTTATTTCCACTTATCAATAGATGTAAACCAAATACCAATTAGTTTTCAGGTTGTATCACTCTGTAGTATTAGTCCAGCCAGCCTAACGCCTTTCATTGCAAAACTTCTTTCTCTGCTACACAACAATACAGGAAAAAAACCCAACAATATATATATACCAGATACTGAGTATCTGGTATATAAGTCTATTAATTATTTTGTACATATGAGGAAGAATAAACATCATACTTTTACTGATTGCTTAGGTTGCAGCAAGACATACTTAAGAGAATGGAAACACATATCTTAAGAGCAAAGATTATTTGCTACCATTGTCCTGTCTGTAATATTACTGATAATATACTTCATCAAATAATAAGAAAAAAGTATTGCATAACCAAGTCCTTTAAAACTGGTCTTTGATTCAAAACCTGCTCAGTGTCTCATCTGGCATATCACCGCACCTGATGTTCTGAGGAAATTATTCTGCCTTCAAATTCCTGTGAGGTTTTTAATTCGACTCAAAGAGGTCAGACAGACATGCAGAAGAGCATGAGTTTCCACAACTAGTACTGAACAACCAGGCCCTCTGACTGACAATTAAGTGACTTGCCTTATCTCTGTCATGTGCAGATAAATAAATACAACACACAATATGCAAAAGAAATGACTGGATGCACGTTTTGATGCTTCTTGATGGAGTGTACAGAACAAAATATTTCAGTACAAGAGGTACTATACCTGTGACTCTTCAATAATGTGAATTCAATGCAATCAGAGCACTCCAACAGTACATACTGAACTCCCCAATTTTCCAAAGTAGCTTAGATGCCTATTACTTGAGCTACTACTTTGAACACCAGGCAATGGTCTACAGCTATTATTAACAAAGTGGAAGAATAATGGATTTTATTCTTGCTCGTGGGAGGAGGTATCATTTGGAGAATTGACAACACTTTAGTCTTTTTAAAAGGTCATGTTACACAACAAAGAAGGCCAAGTCTTTTAGTGATAACATATGATAGTGATAAAATTAGCACTAGTCTACAGATCCTCAAAATTACTAATTGCTTTTCTATGTTGTAAGCAAGCTAAAGCAGTCTGACAAATGTGTTCCAGTGTGTTTCTGATTTATGCACTTTACAGCCTAGTTTACATAGGCTATAAAGAAATCTAGGCATAAAGAAATATCTTAATTTTTAAATAAGTAAACAAAACTGAACAAAACAAATTTTCATAGTACTATACCTTGGGATTATTATTTACTTTAAACATAGTTGTAATAGATTCACTAGAAAGAGGAAAATTATGAACTTTGGTGCAGGAAATCAACAGGAAAAATTTAATAGGAAGGATTAACAGTGAACAATTGTAGTTGAGAGGCATAGCTGCCAACATTAAAGTTGCTTTTGACAAAATACATAAATTGAGAAAATCTGACAGTGTTAGCAGGTAGTATAAATGAAAGTTGTTATGTTGTGCCCTTAGGCATTTATTTATTGCTAAAATAGGCAACAACAGTTAAAGTGCTCTGAATAAATCGTTTTATGAAGAAAGATAAAACAGATTGAAGTGATACACAAATTTACACAATGGTTCATTTGTACAGGGCAAGAAAGTTCAGTCAGATGGAGAGAAAATAAGCTGGTAGCGAGCCACTGCCCCGGGGCGGGCACTGGTGGGGCCTTTGCAGCGTGGCTTGTTTACAGAGTCTGCAAACAGGACTTTCACGCCTTTCAGGCACTGCATGTGTATCGTAGGGTAAAACTCAATATAAAATATTTCTGTGACAGCGAACTGTCACCACTTCACAAACATAACTGAACTTCTACAGGGGAATGCAAATGATTCTCCTATTTACTCCGTTCAGATCCCATTCCAAACAACTCCCTGATAGGGTCATTGCTGGAAACATGTAAGGTTTTGAAACGTAGGGTCCTGAAGTAAATGCTCTTACATTCCTTTTGTTTCCCACTGAAAAACAGGCTCCTTATTTTAAAAGGCTGCTTGCCTAAATTTTTTGAAAGAATGAGCAGCACCTTGTTAGAGTGTGCTGATATATTATACAGATGAGAAATTATAAATAAATTTATTTATAAATTTATAATATAAAATTAATTTATAAATAAACTCCAGTCATGCAATCCAATCCAATTACCTTTTTAGAAAATCTCTTCGTGAAATACCAAGGCTTTACTTGTAAAAACATCTCCAGAAATCATCTTCTCAAAGTCTGTCTCAGTTAAAACAGCATTTTTTTTTTCCAGAGTGGACTAAGAAAATACATCTCTCATTGCTGATAGTCCATCACTTCACGTCTAACAGTTTTGGAGCAATTCTAACAAACAGTCAGACACCGTCAGTCTTGCTGACACTGCTACTATTTTGTCATAAATTCACCCCCAAGTAATGCTAGGAAGCTAAATTTAATAAATACCACCCTGTGCTTGAAAAATATCCCCTTCACTTACTTGAAAATCTTTCTCTGCCAGGATCTCTTTCCTCCACCTGACAAGGAAGGCAGCACAGACGTACAAGTGGAAGTGAGAAAAACCCTCTGGTTCAGACTAGAAAAAATAAAAATATATCATCCTTTCAATACACAAATAATACTTTTGATCACCATATTCCCCCAGTGCATTTTTATGGCATTCACTACTAACTACAAATGCCAGCTAAATCTCCCTCTCTTTGTATCACAAACATGTTTGCATTTCATCTATGCCAAACATATTCACAGCAATTATCTGTGATGGAAATTAAGGTGAGGAATGCATCAATTTCTCATATCTAAATTCATTCTTGATAGATGTGTTTCTTCCATTTCTGATGTTATCCATTAGTTTATATATGGCAGCAAATACTGTACTTGTCTAGTTCAACATTGTGGCATGAACATATGCTTCATCTCCATTATTAAGAGCAAACTTGTAATAATGGAGCTGAAGCATACATAGTTTCATTTGATACTAGTAGCTTTTTCATTACGAATTCTGCTGAAGAAAATTATTAAGCATTTTAAAAATCTAACACTTGGTCTGTATTTGACTGAATTAGAGGTTTTTACTGAAGGAAAAAGATATTTACAACTCAGATTTGTAGTCAGATCTGTAGCTTTCTGTTCTCATTTAAGTCAGCAGATTCAGTCACTTCATAACCCCCCCCCTAGAAATTAAGATTTTATAAGCATACCTAAGAGTTAAAAAAAATTTGTCATCCTACTTCTAAAAGTCATTACTAAATTTTCTCATATTACTAAATTATTATTAGATTTTATTTTCAATGGCACTGAGAACTGAAAAAATAATTATTTTTAATTATCAATGTGATGACTCTGAACTAATGCTATGTAAAATCTCATTAAAATATCATTTAAATATAGTTATATAATTAAGCTACATAATCTGACAAATGTAGGGATCCTTAAATGCTGGTATCTAAATAATTAATAAGATGTAACTCTATCACGTTTAAAGTATAGCAAATTTTTTTCATATTTTCTACTGGTCATTTCAGAACTGCAGTTTCCTCTTTGGAAAAATACATGTTCTGCGCAACTAAAGTGAGTTGAAACAGCTTCTTATGTAAAACACAACACGACAATATATCTATTTTATTGGCATTTAACCTAGAAAAGCACAGTATTTAAAATGTTCAACATAACATTCGTAATGGTGCAATAAAGTAACCTTACTGCAATCACAAGTGGAGAAGGAAAATATTCTCCTATTTCTTCTACTTTTCCTTCTCCCCTACCCTTGACTGACGGAAGTGCATAGCGTACTACAAGGGGCTGGTACAAACACCATGTTAGCAGCTACAGAAAATACAGATCATCCTGTCTACCAAATCGGTAAGAGTTGAGAAAAGAGATGATGCCAATTATTTGTAGGGAAGTTTTAATTTTAAAAGTGTAGTTTGACCTGAAAATAGTAACTGCTTCATTTTGGAACCAGAAAAGGAAGATTCTGATTATAAGACCCTTTGGTATTTTTCCTAGTCTATAGGTAAAAACTGTACTTGAATAACATGACTTGAGTAACATTGTAAAATCCCAGGACAGACAAAGCATATGGTAATTTTAACTAGCCATCTCTCTAGAGTTTGTGTTCATCAGAATAATCAAGTAAAGTCCAATTTACAATATTAGAGACTTACAGAATCATGTACTCACTACCATCCTCCTGAAAAATCTACGTCTTTTACTTTAGTGTTGGCATTTCTCTTGGATGGAAAGTTAACATACATAAAAGCATAAAATGGTACCTCAAGAAGACATACTTGTAAGCAAAGTGCTGCTAGAACTTATCATACCAGATGCTGTTGTAGCAATATTTAAATAAGTAAACACAATTCTAAAAAATGCAGAAAGACAATTCTAAGAAAACAACCCTTTTTCTACTTTGTTCTGTAAATAAATTTACAGAACATGCAGTATTTTTTTAAAATTCAGCCTTTGATAATGTTTTATAACATTTTCATCTCCAAAATGAGAAAAGCATTTAAAATTTTTTAAAATTAAGTATAGAAACAGTACTTGCGGTCTATTTTTTCTCCACACTGAATTGCAACCTATTTCTCACCTTTAACATGAATTTTAAAAATGTCCTTTAAAGTTTAATCATACCTGAAAAGTTTCTATTATTTTGGAATACACAACATAATCTCATAAAAGTGATAATCTTTCTTAAAATTTGGAAAGCAAACTGGGGAGTAATGTCCAATGAAAATATAGGGTGTTTAAGTCAACATTCTGTACAAGAAAACATCAACACACTTTCCAGAAGCCCAATGTGAAGTATGTGCTGTCACTCATGATGACTTTCTGGCATCGTAAGAACCCGTTCAGTTCACCATTATCTGGTGGACTATGATCTGTATTTAGATCTACTTCAAGAAGCGGTAACTGAAGAGCATGGCACCAGCCTGAGCGTTTACAGTCAAACAAGAAAGGTGGAAAGAAGGAAAACGATGGTTATGCGATGGACACAAATAAAGCTGGATTGAGATTGCTGAAGAGAGAAAGAAAAGTACACAAATACTGCTGAGGGTAGATCAAGAAACAAGAAGACTATTTTTGAAGAAGCAGGAAGACTGAATAGTCTGTAGGCAGGAAAATCTAATTTGAAATAATATTCTTAATCAGTATATATTATGTATCAGATTATTTGTTATCCTACATGAATATAATAAAGGTTTACATTTCTTTAATTCCATGAGACAAGCAAGAAAGAGGGAACTGAAAGGAACTGGGTTTGGTGTTAATATATACTAATCCTCCTTTCTTCTCCTCACTCCTCCAACATTATATAAGTTGTTGAAAAGCACAGGGGAGAAGGGGGCAGGATTAAAGACATCTGTCTGAAAGCAGCGTTTTAACTTTCAAAAGTCAATTTGCAGTAACTGTGGGCAAAATTGTTTATTTTGCTCTCTCTTACGTTGACTCACAAAACAGTATTATACAGGTAGTCAAATTAGTTCATCAGAGTATTCTTTTTTTCTGATAATAACCTAAGATTTTCATTTTAAGTCAAGAACTCATTCTATTATCACATAATAATAAAAAAAAAATACTTCCATAGTCAGAAAGTCAAGATAAGTGGCTTAAAAAAAAAAAATTAAAAGCAAAAAATCCAGAACTGCTATACTGGAAGCTGAAAAAGTTCTTGAGGAATTGCAGAAGAAAAATATCTGGAAGACAAGAATCTGTACTTTTTCTTGAGACTTGTCTGCTCAACCTTTTTTTTCCCCAATACAATTTTCTTCAGCTCTTTTAAATGAAGCCAAATAGGTTTAAATACGCAATTCATTAGAGTAAAAACGCATATCCCCCTATAGATTTAAAAATTCATCATGCTTCAGAGATAAATCTAGGCTACAAAGTATTTCCAATGGATAGTTTTAGACAGTTTTGGAAATTGAGTAAAACAGCTAATGCGTAATTGCCTTTTCTAACACCTGCTACCTATTATACTTTTCCATTTGTGGCTTTTGAAGTTACAAACAGTTTGATCTCTAAATGTACAGAAATGCAGACTATCAGCTAAAAGCTATTTAAAATCAAATATAAACAATGACCTTGATTTAAATATTTTAGCAAAAGATCTCAAGACAGATGTACAACCTTCCAGAAGACTTATTCTGAACATATTACAGATGACTCAGAGCACATTATCTAAGAACCATCTGTCATTATCAATAAAAATCATTTAGAATGTTAACATCACAAATATGTCACTGCCCTGCAGATGCTGGATCTCCTCTGTAGCTGAAATGAAAGGCATTCTTTATACTTCTTGAATTAGACAATCACTGTAAGAATGCAAATTTTGCTGTACGACTAGAGTCTAGTCAACAATTAGTTCAACCTGCCTCCTATCCCCGATTACATCAACATTTAGGGAGGGTAATATCTCATGGTGATGTATTTGTTGGTAAAGTAAGCATAATAACCGATTACTTTTTAAGTACCCAGAATGATCAAAGCTATGAAATTGTGACAGGGTTAGGTACTAAACCACCACATTTCACACTCAAATAATGGCTCAGACACAAGGACTTCCAAGCACTTTATGATTACATATGAATACATCAACTTTACGCAACTCAGTTTTTATTATATTACAAAGAACGGACAGTTTAGCTGCGAAGAGGTTTAAGTAATTTTTCCAAAAATATCCCAGCAATCTAAGGCAGAAAAAGAGAAAGAAACCAGTGCAGGATCATCATGAAAAGTGCAATGTGTTGGCTGCTCCTCCAAGATTTGCCTCTTCCATCAGCCAGGAGCTCCGACTCCCTAGGCACAGACTCAATCCGCTGTCAAAACTGAGACCCAGAGTGCCAGTCTTGAGAAGCAACACAGCATGTACACACCACTTTTACAAGAACTGTATTCACATTTTCTATTTTTGCTAGGAATGTTTAAAAAAATTATTTATCTTACAACGTTCTATTAGATTTGGCAGATTTTTGCTGAAAATTAGGTGAAGATCAGTTTTTGTAACGATTTAGTAGTTGGCCTCTCTGATCTAGTCAACAACAACTTGGTAACAGTTCCCAAGAGATAACTTGCGATATAACCTCTGCTGCAAAATCCCAGGCACAAGGAACACAGACCATTGCTGGAATTTTTTTGGATCAATGTCTTGCCCTGTTAGAATGCACCATACGGTCTGCAAAACTCATGGTAAGACTATTAATCAATATCAAATATAAATGGACGCTATTGATAATTGCTGTTTACTTGATTTATCCAGTCTCCCATTAATCATTTAGTTTTAAGATGCATCTTTCATATAACTTCCCACATTAGCTTGTATTTTGAGAGCAGAGTTTAAATTACTGTTCTTTTCACTTGCTAATATGTTCAATTCAAACAGAATAAAAAAGAACTAACTTCAAGTGTGCATTTGACATTTTTGTCCTAGCTTTTCCAGAATCAACTGTGGTGAAAAAAATTCAGAGTTTCTCATTTCATTCATTTAAAGAGTACATCATGAAGCTTTTAAAGAGTTTGCCACACTAGGATGTCAAGTGGATTCTCACTCCATGAGGTACCTTTACATCC